GGAAAACAACTCTTATATTATTATAATGCTGCGAGGGTCGCTATTCCTAAATAGGTGTCTGACATCAACAACTAGAAGAGAATGCTCGTCCGACAAGAAAGGGGCCTATGAGGTGTGCGAACCAACTGGTGGGTTCATACTCACACTTGTAGACCAGTGTAGAATAGTAAATACACATCCAATTACCCTCTTAGGATATCTGCATAAGGAATATAGACTTATATGATAGGTCTCACTTATGATTGTATGTGTTTGCTTCTAACCCCAATAGTGGGGTCACTTACGAGTATTTCTTAAAATACTCCAGACACGTGCTACTTCTATTTTAAATAAAAGCAAGACAATTCTATACCGTTGACAACATCGCAACTTGAGATCATCCCACATACATAGGGTAGTTGTATTTATTTTCTTAGACATAGGTTAGAATAGTGTGTTTATTTTTATTATTTATTTATTTCATTTAGTATTTTGTTGTTTCGTTTTAAAGATATTTTTGAACTCAGTAAGTCCATGAAAGTGTTTTAAGATGAAGTTTATGTTTTACGATGAAGTTTAAACGCTTATTTTCACACAAATGATTACATTATGATGATGATAACGACTTTAGGTAAGTAGAAATTTAGAGTTGTGTTACAATTTGAGACCTTGAACTTTAAAAAGTAATCATTTAACATTTGTATTTTATAATGTGTAATGATTTAGTCTCAATCGTGCAAAATATTACTAAGATTTAATGAAATTTACATATGTAAATTGATTGTAAGGATCCAAAACAAGAATTCGCCAAAATTCTCGCACTCTCATTGTACACATTTCCCACGACACCAAGATACGCTTACGACCTTCAACGCACCTCACAGAATCCACCTACAAGGAAAAATAACATGAAATAGAGGGAAAACAAGGTAGAAGAATAAAAGATGGTTGAGTTTCCTCATGACAAGCATGACGCCAACAATCACTCCACTAAGACTCATGGCGCCGTATGGTGTAGATACCACCATGGAAGAGAGGATTAAAAAGACAGGAACACCATGACGCACATGAGTGATTATTACCAAACGGTGTTGTAGCTTTGTCGGCCAAGAGGATGAATTGATTGCTAGTGCAACTTTTCGTGCCCAGATTTGAACCTTAGTAGGTATAGAGGGAGACCATGACACATGTCGTAGGGTAGCTGTACTTGTTTTCCATGGGTAGTTGGACTTGTTAAAACAGGGTCTTTTAATTTTAACATTATTCATTTAGTTTTTTTTTTGTCATTTATCAGATGAATATTTAATTCCGCATATGAATATAAATGATGACGACGGTAGCGATACATTCATAATTTGATTTGGAATCAAAAAATGGATACTTAATTTTGATGAGATTTAGTACAACGGTTACTAAATTATTATAATTTTAAAAGTATAGATACTATAAATTGATAATTTGATTAGGAATTCTTGAATCTCACGTTTGCTGAATTGTAACCGTTAGATATCTTCTCCATTCGACTCCTAGCCTCGTATATTTCCCGAGAGAGAAGCCATTAATCCAAGATTTCCTTCATGAAACTCGTTGGCAAATCTTGGATCGTATGTAGTGATACTAATGTCTCACCAAAAATCTCGAGTTTTCTGGTGGTTGATAAGCACCTGGTTCTTTCGCCAGACTCTTAGGAACCACGACCCTCCATAATGATATGATTATTGTCCATTTTGAGCATAAACTCTCGTGGCTTTGCTTTTGGTGGAGATAGTATTCCTTACTTATAAATCATGTTCATCCTCTTAATGAATCAATGTGAGACTCCCTCCCCCACAATCCTCAACCCAGACTACCAATGTGAAGTTTTAAGGAGGGCATGTTCTTCTTTTCCCTCACCGCTATTACGGCTATTGTGTAAGGGTTTTGTGGTCACGCTCACCAGGGAGAATTCATTTGAGTGAGTGGATGAATTTTTTGAAATATGAATGACGCGTGTTTTGTTGTCCCTACGCGTACCATTCCTTAAGATTGTTTAATACATGTTTATTTTGTTACTAGATATGTTAGGCTATAGAACTAGATATGTTAGGTTGTAATTATGAGGTATATTATATTATATCATGGTATGTAAAATTATGTTATGTTAGGGAAAGTGTTATACCATCTTATACATTATGAGATGACATGAAATTATTAAGTTATGTACGGAATGAACGAAGATATAACATGCATCATAGATACATATCATAATTTAAAACTTTGGAGACCTCATGCATCTTATATGTTCATGTGCATAGAAATACTTCCCCGCTTTGATTAGTACGGACGCATACACCTATGTTATATTATGGTATTATGTACACCATATTACTATGCGCTCTCTTCCCTTCGTGGTATTTTAGCAACGTGAGTATACGATAGTCAAAGGTCAGGTCTAGCAGTATGTATACGAGCCCACTTGGGGGTCCATGTCTCTGTACATGGGCCGTGGATAGAGAAGTATCACACATCCAACACGATTTAGACTAGAAGTAGGGACTAAGGTCATGTCATGATGTTTTTACTAAAGTAATAGTTCCAATATGATTGCTTGTATTTGCATTTCCCCAACCCAATAGTGGGGCTGCTTATTCTGTACATTACTCAAGTCACGTGCTACTTATTTTCAGGCAAAGGTAAGCACCCTACACGGTTGATGGCGTCGCTATTGAGGCTATGAAACCGAAGTTAAATATTTTAAATTACATTAATATCCTAATAAAATAAGCAAAATTATAGTTAAAAATAAATTATTAATTACTAGATGGGATGGCATAAATTTCTACCCATACCATTTTAATTTTTTCTAATTTTAAAACTAATATTGTTTTCTAATAATATTTTCTTCTTTTAAGATTCCTTTGTTGTTATCGAACATTATACACGTGCGAGTAATTTTACTATATCAATCATTATTAATGTCATGTCAAAGCTGAATATTTTGTAATATAGTTAGCATATGTATAATACTATATATTATAATGGATTCTTATCCTGTAGCCTTTTTAATACCTTGTGAAAGTTGCGAAGGGGGTTGATACCCTGTTGTATTGTTATTGGCATATGATTTCTTACACCATTGGCTTTAGCGACCACCTTAGCGGTATAAACAATGGTGCCGTACACCATTCTTTTCATGTTCGATTTGAGATTGTTTGTATACTTGAATGTATTAGTTTATGTTTATAGTTTTAGGGGTTGATAGGATGTGTCCCTAATAAGCTGTCATGAATGTTTATAATATGTATATCATGTTCTGGGTGATCGGTATGATAACCTCCCTAGCAATACATGCATAATAAAACCAAGTTAAGCTTAGACTACTATCGTTAGAGTGGTTTACATGTTGATTCAAGTTAGTATATTTTCGATAAACCTTACATCCCAAGATTGTTAGCGATCAGAAGGTTTAGAACTGTGTGCATCTAGAGATTGGTTTACTCCCGAGAAGCTAACCCCCAAACATCCAAAAAATGAGAGATGAGATTTTAACCACCTAAGCGCCCTTAAGAACCTAATAGACATCTACAACATCTAGGAATGACAAAGATAGCTTTCTAAGTCATTAGCTGGATGTATAATGTCATTAGTTTAACGAAGTCATTAGAGTCTCTACTACCCTTTCCACTTTGACACCCGTATAGTTGAGTTTTACCTGGTACCCATATCGTCGAGCTTGTGTAATCTAAAAATTTAGTTGGATTACCCTGCACTTCAAATCTGGACCACATGGGTACTGCAGATCCGTTTATGGAGAGACATGGATCACGCATGTAGTTCTTGAGCTGGCATGCACATGGGGCCTCACTCCTGACTTTGGATGACTATATGGTCATGTGGTATGAGTTCCCAACTAACCTTCCATCGATGACAAACATGCTAACACACGTCCTTATGTCTCAACGAGAGGAGAGTTCTATGAGATATAGCCTTGACTTGGGACATCGGTTTTACACTGCATAAGCAAAGAAAGCTACCCAAAATCAAAGAACAGAATAATAGTTCACCTTAGAGATGAGACTGGTCACTCAACAAATTCGTAATGCCAGAAAAAAGTGAACCACCTTCTCCAAACCCAAGGTGAGTTCGTGAGTAGCTAAACTACCACTCGGAATTTTGAGGCACTCCCAATGCTAAGATAAAAATAGAGACTAGCTAGACTCAAACTTTTTAGTGCACGTACTATGATTGATGATGTATGTCATATGAGAATGTGATGTTAGTGCACGTACTATGAAAAGCTAGTTATGAAACTTTATCATTGAATAGTTATTACAATTATGATGAAATTATACATTTAATATCATGACAATGACATGATCTAACTTAACTTTTATTGACTTGATACTAATTAGGGTGAAGTCTCTCAGAACTCTCCCTCATTCACTATTGGAGTACCTTAATAGAATGAATTAATTGTCCGCATTCACATAAAAACAAATGATATGTTTTAACAGTAATGGTTTAAGTTCTATAGATGCATGTTGCATGTTAATGTTGTATATACACACGACTGATTCTTTAATTTTTTTTTCTTTAATAAAACCAAAGACTTACAAAATGATTGGTTAGAGTAATGGGGTCTACGTCAAAATGCTTATGATTTGTATGGTTACGTGTTAGAACTTTTTACTTTATTTTATTTCGAAATTATGTATTAAATGTCCAAAATTGAACAGTATTTCACTTTATTTTATGTTTCAGTAATGTTTGAACGAGAACCTAATTTGAAAAGTTATTTCACTTTTTATCGTAGAAACGTTTGTGTAACAAAAATTGGTAGTGAGTTATTTTATTTTATTTTTATAAATAAAATTAATTTAAAAAAAAGAAAAGAAAAATAAACTTTAAATGAAATAAAAGAAATATGTATGGGAATGAGACATGCATTTAACGATAAGCCCAAGTGTGTATATAAATTTATTTTATTTATTTTTATAATTTATTTTTGGGTTCAAAAGGGTGCTCCTTCCATCAATCAAAATTGTGAAACATAGCGTTTTTTTTTTTAATTTTTTATTTTCTCCATAAGAAATTATGGACATAACTTTTTTCACAGCCAAAGAAGCCCCCACAACCTTCTTCAACCAAAGCCATGATCATCATCATCATCTTCACTTCTCCAACTTAGACATGCAAAGCTCCACCAGCCATTCCTCCGAGTACTCGCCCGAACAATCTCCGTCTGCTGCTGCTGCTGCTGCTGCTGCTACTTTGGCCGCCACCGGAAAATGGTCCTCCACCCTTCTCAAGGAGTGTGCTAGAGCCATCTCTGAAAAAGACTCCAACAAAATCCACCATTTTCTTTGGATGTTGAACGAGCTAGCTTCCCCTTATGGTGACTCCGATCAGAAAATGGCTTCCTACTTCCTCCAAGCTCTCTTCTGCAAGGCCACTGAAACTGGCCTCACTTGCTATAAAACCCTTGTCGCCATCGCCGACAAGAATCATTCCTTCGACTCTTCTCTCAAGCTCATCCTCAAATTCCAAGAGGTTTGTTCCAATTCGATTAGGTTAACGTAAATTTAATATCTTGTTCAATTCTTCTTTCTGTCTGTGAATTATGATATGATCCGAGGTTGAATGTGAATTTGAACCTTCAAATTTAAAAGAAAAAGGTCGAATTTTTATGTCAAAAATTTTATGGTGAATTTGATTTTTATGTCAGGCAAGTCCGTGGACAACATTCGGGCATGTGGCATCGAACGGTGCGATTCTCGAAGCTCTCGAGGGAGAAACCAAGCTCCATATCATCGATATAAGCAACACCCTTTGCACCCAATGGCCAACCCTACTAGAATCCCTAGCCACGCGCAATGATGACACTCCACATCTCAAGCTCACCGTGGTCACAACAACAACCATTGTTAAGTCTCTAATGAAGGAAATAGGGCAAAGAATGGAGAAATTCGCAAGGTTAATGGGAGTCCCGTTCGAGTTTAACCCGATAACGAATCTCGAAAACTTAACCGACCTTACAAAAGAAGCACTCAAAGTAGAAGAAGATGAAGCCATTGCCATAAATTGCATTGGAGCTTTAAGAAGAGTGAGAATTGAAGAAAGAAACAATGTGATATCAATGTTGAAATCATTAAAGCCTCGAGTTTTAACAATTGTAGAGGAAGAAGCGGATTTCATAAGCTCAAAAAACAACTTCTTGAAGTGTTTTGAAGAATGTCTTCGATTCTACACTCTTTACTTTGACATGTTGGAAGATAGCTTTGTGACAACAAGCAATGAGAGATTGGTATTAGAAAGAGAATGTTCAAGAAGCATTGTGAGGCTTTTGGGGTGCGATGAAAGTGAAGAACAAATGGGGAGTGAGAGAAGAGAAAAAGGAAAACAATGGAGCAAAAGGCTTAAAGAATCAGCCTTTTCATTGGCTGAATTTAGTGAAGATGTATTGGATGATGTTAAGGCTTTGCTCAAAAGGTACAAACCCGGTTGGGCGCTTCTGCGTCGAGCCGCCACCACCGCCACCGCCACCGGAGAAGTACACGAAAGAGATGACGATTCATGTGGAGTTTACTTGACATGGAAGGAAGAACCAGTGGTGTGGGTTTCAGCATGGAAACCCTAGAGGAATATGTCATTTACTATTATAACACCACTCTATATTCATAAAGGAGTTCTTATTTTTGTATGAAAATTGTTATATATATGTCTAGATTTTGTATTCAAATTCTTAATTTCTTGGGGTGTTTTTTAATGGTTTTGCTTGGTTCTTCTTTTTTGTTTATGGATGGACTTTGCTTAGTTTCATATGAGTAGCAACTTCATACATTGTATGATACCACTATCAAGCAATAGGAATATTCTATGGAGTTCATATATAGACATACATATAAATTTAATCAACTTCAATATTTCAAGATTCCTTTGGTAATAATAACCCAAACCCATTTTTATTTTTAGTAGAATAATAAAGATTATATCACAAATTTAACCTAGGGCTTTGAAATTTCCTTTTTCTTAAAAAATAGAAAGAAAAGAACGAAGCTAACCAAACAAAATTGGTTTCTTTTAAGCAAAAATGTAAAGTGGTATAATCATTACGTTTTAAAAAAAAATAAACTCGCTTACCCATAATTTATCTAATAAAATTATAATCGAACCGAATCTTTAAACGATCGAAACAAAATATCAGAGTTTGGTCGTTCGTGGAGGACAAAAGCTTGAAATTAGTGGTTAAAATGGGAAGATATACACACAAAACTTTATGATTCTTTTGTAGGTAGCAAATGGAGGGTGGTATGAATTTTTGTGGTTGGATTTATCAGCTTGGGAGATGGGAAAACAACATTCATATCCATATATATTAGAGAGAACAAGAGAGAGATCTAATAGCTTTCAAGTGTTTATAATATATGTTCTTCAATTATATGATATTAGTGCTGACATGTCATAAAAAGGGAAAGTTTGGGAACAGGGTTTCAATCATACATGTTTTGAGTTCTTCACTTTTACATATTTTAAATCAATTATTTATTTTTCTTTTATTTATTTATTTATTCAGAAATATAAAAATATTTTCTTCCCAATTTTGAAAATATATTTGTAATATGTAACCATGTACCAAAAAAAAAAAAAAAAAAGTTAAAAAGATACCCTTTTTTAAAAGAAAAAAGGGGGAAAAATAAAAAGGCAACTTTATATTAAATTTAAACCATGGTGATATATATTTAATATGTTACCAAAAACTATAATATTTGTAGATGAAATGAAAATTGGAGCATTCTTAAAACTAAATTATTAATGATTGAGTAAATAATGTTGAAGTTAATGAATTTGGAAGCAAACTTTATAGAACAATAATGCATGAGTTGGGCGAGGCAACCAAGCAATTCCTTTAGGAACCCAAACACGTAAAAATGGGGGAAGAGATTGTCATCTTTTTCTTAAGTTAAGTAAGGAAAATGATTGGCTGTAAGGGGTGAATGTAATTTCTTCCATACACGTTTAAAATTTTATCTACAAACATTTTGAATCTTTCAAGTAATAGCTCACTCCTAGCAGATATTCTTTGTTTTGACCCGTTATGTATTGCCGTTAGCCTTACGGTTTTAAAACGCGTCTTCTACGGAGAGGTTTTCGTATCCTTGTAGAGAATGTTTTGTTTCCCTTTCCAACCAATATGAGATTTCACAATCGACTCCTTTGAGGGCCAGGCACACTATTCAGTGTTTGGCTCGGATACCATTTGTAACAGCCCAAGCCCACCGTTAGTAGATATTGTCCGCTTTGACCTGTTACGTATTGTCGTCAGCTTCATGATTTTAAAACAAGTCTGATAGGGAGAGGTTTTCACACCCTTATAGAGAATGTTTTGTTCTCCTCTCCAACTAATATGAGATCTCACAGTCGACTCCTTTGGGAGTCAGCGTCCTCGTTGGCACACCACACAGTGTCTGACTCTGATACCATTTGTAGTAGTCCAAGCTTGCCATTGGTAGATATTGTCCGCTTTAGCCCGTTACGTACCGCGTCAGCCTTACAGTTTTAAAACACGTATGCTAGTCAGAGGTTTCCACACCCTTATAGAGAATGCTTTGTTCCCCTCTCCAACCAATGTGAGATCTCACAATCAACCCCCTTGGGGGCCAGTGTTTTCGTTGGCACACCATCTAGTGTCTGACTCTGATACCATTTGTAGTAGCCTAAGCCCGCCGTTAGTAGATATTGTCCGCTTTAGCCCGTTACGTAATGTGTATGCTAGTAAGAGGTTTCCACACCTTTATAGAGAATGTTTTGTTCCTCTCTCCAACCTATGTAAGATCTCACAATCAACCCCCTTGGTGGCAAACGTCCTCGCTAGCACACGCCCGATGTCTAACTCTGATACCATTTGTAACAGTCCAAGCCCACCATTAATAGATATTGTCTGATTTGGCCCGTTACGTATCGCCATCAATCTCACGATTTTAAAACATGTATGCTAGGGAGAAGTTTTCACACCTTTATAAACAATGTTTTGTTCTTTTCCTTCATGTCTTAACAAAATGGAGTATATAAGTAGAGTTTTGAAGGGAGAAAAAAGTGGGAGGTGGGGGTGGTGGGGGGCTAAGGCTCCAAGGGGAAGAAGTTGAATAGATTACTGAGAAAGGCAAATTGAAAATAAGTTGACATAAAGATGGGAAATGGACCCAAAAGGAAGGCTTTGTGGGAAGCATAAGTCTACCGACTTGATCCCATGTTTGCCTTTTGGTCCATTGATTGGAATAGCATATTTCGCTTCAATTACCACACATTTGTATTGCCTTTAACCCAACATTATATAGTGGGAACCCAACTTTTTGTAGCTTTCTCTCAGATAAGGATTGGTACTACGACCAACCCTTTCCCCCCTCTCCTAACTTTGCTTTGCTTTATCAAATTATATATACACATAATATGCATTCTCTATCTTTCCTCTCTTTATACCTACGCAAAACCCTTTACTTTTGGCTTTTTACTTCCTTACTTTGCCCTTTCACTTCCCTCCTTTTTCATTTTTGTTGCTACATCTTGTTTTTTGGTTCCTGGAGTTTGCATCATTTTTTTTTCATTTTTTGTTCCTTCATGTTTTCAAATGTGTTTGGTTTCAACTTAGTGGTAAATGAGAAGGAATGCAAGAAACGATGCAAGAAAGAGAAATTAATTACGCCCCATATTTAATATAGGCTTACGTTTGATTGAGTTAGGTCTTGTATAGTATATGGCCAGACTCTCTAAATTCTGAATGAAGATTTGAATATACTGAGCTTGATTTTGTGTTCGAATCATAGATAAAGGAAGTATTCTTTTCCGTCCGAGATCTGAGAGATTTTGCTAGGTAAGGTTTATGGGTATTTGACCCGGTTTTTCCTATATTTGAGAGTAATCTTTAGAGTTAGAGTCCAAAAAATTTTTATATGGTACCCTAGTGGTGATTCCTCACAAGTTTCATTAAGTCACAAAGATTAAAGTCAAAAATTGAATTTTTGAGAAGTTTCAATATTCGGTAAGAAATCAATTCCGTCTAAGTTTGTTTAAGAATATATTTGTTTGTGATGAGTTTAAATACTTTGACGAAGATGAATAAAAACTACTCACTTTTGAGAAGAAACCAAGTGACTCGAGTATGATAAAAGAAGATACAAATTTGTAAGGAAAAAAAAAGATTGAATCAAAATTTTGATGATTTTTGGAAAATCGAATGCAGGGGAGAGAAGTCGGAGCCGTGTGTTGAATGGCAAATGACGAAGCGTGCGTAGGGTTGGGTATGGTGATAGTTGGAGATTGATCCTACCTGATCGACATCCAACCTTCGGAAGAACCACACGACACGCCACTACTTTGACCCATGGTCCAAAAGCCGCCACAAGGCCTTACATGAATCTAAAGTTATGAACCAATGATGGAGACCATAGGATATGTTGACACATTTCCCTCTCCCATTTAAGATTTTTTCAAGAGATTCACGTTGATATTGACTCATCCAAACATCTGCCATGGGCAATATTATCATAAGATAGTAATTTTATTTCCAATATTTTACCTACTCCATGGTTGCACTTGTTGTGATAAACTACAAGATCTAAAAAAATGAGTTACATTTACAAAGAGATCATTAACTATTGTAACTAAATATTATAGGAATAAGAATTATTTTGATCTAATGTTTGGTTGAAATTGTCTCAGGTTAGTTAAGCAACACTTGACCTATACCATGGTACTTATTCTAAATCACTAAAGTACCATAGCATTAGAAACGGCCTGAGTCCTTTTATAAAATTGTTTGTTATCTATTCAATTTGTTTGTAATTATATATTTCAAATGTTATGTTCATTTTCTCTCCATGCTTTAATTTTCACTACTAATAATTCATGATCGAATATTAGCACTAAGATGATATATATATATTTTTTTTGTCTTTATTAAGAAATGTTCTCAAGTCCTATTGTCAATGTCAATCGAATTGTTCGAAGAGCATATGATCGATGAATCAAAGGTAACGAAAAAGCTTTGTTGATATCTTTTAGTTGACATGCTGATACTAAAAGATAAAAAAATGACTGAAAACATATGAGATGGATAAATTAGTAAAAGCTGAATTTAGATAGTTATCTAAATGATCTAGGAATTAAGTATTACAAAATTCAATTAAAATAATCGTCCATACAGAGATTTTTTTTTTAAATTACTCTGGGTAAGAAAAAGAAAGTAAATAGTTAATATAAGATCCACCATCAAGATTTATTCTTCATTACATTTATATGTAATTTTTGAAAAATACAACGACGTAGAATAGATTCTATTTGTTGGCACTAGAAAATCAATCTCAATTGGTATTGTCGGAGACATTAAAATGTCATTAAGTAAAAATTGTTAATAAAGGTTGAACATGGTGTTCTTACTGACCATAAGAGAAATTCAATTTCTCAAACTTTAGATCATATAGTATGAATTAGTTTGAAATATTGAAGTTTATATTTTCAAAATTGTTTGAAAATATGTTCCGCTCCAATTAAATACAATTAGTATATAAAATAAAAATACTAGTAAAAGGTAATTTTCTAAACGATAAAGTTAATTACTTTACACGTCTAGATCTTTCATGCAAAATAATCATTGGACTCTTATTGAACAAAGTACAAAACCCATCAGCATTTTGGGCTTATGTATTCTGACTCAATTGGTCTCATGAATCTAAAAGCTAAAAAATATTAATAATATTTTATGAATCTGAAACATGATTATTCGATATATAAGTATTTATCAAATGCAATCTAGTCTAATTTTT